GCTAAACCTCACATCTCTGAGCTGTGGGGTTTTGCCTACCTGTGCAAACCCAGCTAAATTGGATGAACACAGAACACTTTCAAAAACTGTACTGCACACTTTTTTGTTGGGTTTTGTTTTGTTTCAGGCTTCTTCAGATGGTGAAATTATCTTGATCCACAGCTCTCACCTGCAGTAGAAGGTACATGCCTCCTTCCCCCAAAGAGATAGTCGGTGCCTAGGCTGGGACATGATTACCCATTCAATCCTTTCTGCTAGTGCAGGACTGGGAAGATGTTATCAGATTTCCTCAGCAGGTACTGCTAGAGAAAAGAGGAGGCAGGAAGAAGAATAGAAAAGTGTTTCCGTTGGAAGGGTCCTACAACCATCATCTAGTCCAACTGCCTGACCACTTCAGGGCTGGCCAAAAGTTAGTGTTTCCAAATGAGCCTTAAACACTGACGGGGTCAGGCTGTCATCCACCTCTCTAGGAAGCCCATTACAGTGTTTGATCACCCTCTTGGTAAAGAAATGTTTCTTAATGTCATATCTAAACCTCCCCTTGTGCAGCTTTGAATTGTTCCCACATGTCCTATTACTGGATCCCAGGGAGAAGAGCTCAGCACCTCCCTCTCCTCTGCCCCCTCCTCACGAAGCTGTAAAGGGCAGCAAGATCACCCCTCAGTCCCTTTCTCTCTAAACTGGACAAGCCCAAAGTGCTTAGCTACTCCTCGTAGGATATTCGTTCAAACCTTTTCACCAGCTTTGGTGCTTTTTTTTGGATGCATTCAAGTACATTCACATTCTTAAATTGTGGGCCTCAGAACTGCTCACAGTACTCAAGGTGAGGCAACATCATACAGCAACATACAGCAGAATAATCACTCCAGGATGGGGTTTTCCCTCCTGGCTATCTGGGCTCCCTGCTGGCCCCAGTGATCACCTGCTGACCAGCACCCTAAATCCCTTTCTGCAGGGCTGATCTCCAGCCACTGCTCTCCTGATTTATAGTTGAGCCCAGCATTGCTCTGTCCCAGGTGCAGAATCTGACACCTGCTAAATTTCATGCCACTTTCCTGATCTATCCACATTCCTCTGTAAGGCCCCTTGTCCTTTAAGAGAGTCAAGAGCACCTCTGTTTAGTATCATCAGCAAACTTGGTAGTGGGGCATTCAACTCCTGCATCCTGATCATTGATAAATATATTGAACAGAACTGGTAGTCGTGAGTGTTTATATTGCATTTCTAGCTGGCAACTCTTATATAGCCAAACGGATCCATAATATCCTAATTCCCAACTGCATAGAAATTTCCATTGTGTATGTGTGCTGCACCAGCTTTGCTCTGGTTTGCTCTATTTGTGAGAAGGAGGTAAGGGACAGAAATGTTTCTACCTCTGGTTTTACAAAGCGGTTGTATTATAAGGTGACTTCTGTGGTGACTAAATACAGGGTTGAAATTGGTACTGGAATAACCTTGGCTACTTGCATTCTTTGTGTTCTCACTTAAAGAAAGCATTACTTGAGGGCAATACAGCATGCTGCTGTTCAGAGCACTCTGTGTGTCTTAAAACTACTGCCTCTTACTTCTCAGTCTCTTGGTATAGCTAGGTTGGATATATTCCCCTTCTTGTGGGTGCCAAGTATGGACTTATACTTTTCCTGCCATTTCTGCATTAGAATTTGGAGCAAAGATATCCTTGTTTTCAGTGCTAATGTTTGTTGTGCTATATACACATGTGTATGTATATACCTATACATAAATGTACATCCATCTATACCTACACATATAAGGATAGTGATTATCATTTTACATGTTGAGTGTGACTATCACTTGACATCTCAACCACCTACTAGAAAAAGAAATGGAATCCATTTTAAAAAGTAACAAATCATGATGCTGTTGTCTTCGAGTTCCCTGCTCTTCTATTAACACATTTCTAACTTCTGAACTGACTGGATCACAGCAGTTGTCTTCATTTCTCTACTAGGAGCATGAGCTTTTCCAGAAAAGTTGTATGTTATCATATAATTTTAAGTGGTGTAGTAATGCCTGGCCCCAAATGTATTGCAAAGAAATTGCACTTGAAAAGTTTGGTTTTGCAAATTAATACTCTTTCAGATTAAAAAAATTAAATCACAATATATGTATTAAAATTAAATAACTAGGAGTCTTTCAATTTCACAAGTAGGATGAGAACCATTGGTGTTACAGAGAGGCTTTTTGTGCTTTTGAATTCATAACAGAGCTCTATAAATACAAGTTTCTGATGCTGTAATGTCTTTGTAGAATGTACACTAACTTAACTTGGGCTTTATGGCATGGTGGTGTTGCAAACTTTTTTTTTCTTTTTGCAAACTCGCAAAAAGGTATTTAAAGATACAGGGGACACTGCTAGTGAATCCAAGTCCCGTGTTGACTGTGACTTCCTAAGAAGAAACTGCAGTATTGTACTGTTACACTTGCAATATGTTTTGCTGTGGATTTGCCTTCTTTATGTTTCTATATGTCAAAGATTGGATATTAACAGTAGGTTTTAGTATACAAACTTCATCAAAATAGCAACTGATTCCAGATACTGACCCAATGAGCAGGTATTAGTTTTGCACTAGTTGACAGATTTCCATTACTGAAATGTGTACCTGCAATTTGCTGTTGCAAGGTGAGATCACTGACCTGCACTTTGACTTGGGGAGAAAAGTGATACTACATGCAGGTTAAGATTCTTCAGACTTTCTGTGGCTTACACTCTTTTCCCCACTTTCAAGTTACTGCTTTTCTATATTAGTGATTTTCATACTAAGCTGAAGGTGAAGCTGTTAAGAAAATTAAGTGCTTACTTTGGATGCTTAGGGAAAGTAGTCATCTGTTGGTCTGAAGAGGGAGGATTTTGAAAGTACCGAACAGACATAAGATTCCCAGCTCCCCGTTTCAAAAGCCACTCTGATTTCTAAGTTCTGCTGCCTTGCTGTGATACTTGTGTTCCTAATGTGTTCATTTAATAATTTTGTTTCTTTGGAAGCTTTCTGATCTTCATGAGTATGATGTCTGCTGGACAATGCGATTTTGAGTAAATAAAGCTTTGGATTCTTGGGGAGTAAACCAACAATGCCTTCACTCTTTGCTCAGTGCATACCTTGTTTTCTCCCCTCTCCCTCTCCCCTTGGCCTTTAGGCTGTGTGCTGTGGAGCTGAGCTGTGGGCACGTGCTGAGCTGGGGCACGTTGTGAGTGCTCTGCCACTGTCTGCAGGGACAATGGCTGCAGTGTCACCAGGGCCTACACAGGGGCAGTTGATGGCGTTTCTGTGGAATTGCAGTGGTGTGTGGCATCTACTGAAACCCTAAGATAAGCAAGTGCAAAAATTCCTCCGAGCTGACAGGCCTCTGAAAAGGCCATGTTGTAGCCTCACTGATAAATGCCGCAAATAGCAGAACAGTCATGAAGGAGTTGGTTCAAACTGGGAGACTGTATGCCATTCATGTTCAAATTGTAACTGTGGAAAGAACTTCTCCTCTTCCCACCCCTGAATATGTGTAATGAGCTGTCTGCTCTAAATCTTTGTCTCCTGTCAGCTACCACCTCCAGTACAGCAAATCTTTGCATTAGAACATGATGCACAGACAGAGGCCCTGGACCTGCTTTCGCTTGCCATCACTGTAGACACATGGAATGCCCTTGTTTACATTCCCAGTTTCAGGTACAGGAATCAGAGAATGATAGAATGGTTTGGGTTGGAAGGGACCTTAAGGATCATCTTGTTTGAAGCCCCCTGCAAGGCAGGGGCACCTCCTGCTAGACCAGGTTGCTTAAAGCCCCATCCAGCCTGGCCTTGAACACTGCCAGGGATGGGGCATCCACAGCTTCTCTGGGCAACCTGTTCCAGTGCCTCACCACCCTCATAGGAAAGAATTTCTCCCTAACATATAATCTAAACCTACTCTCTTTCAGTTTGAAGCCATTCCCCTTTGTCCTATCTCTACAAGCCCTTGTAAAAAGTCCCTTTCCAGATGTCTTGTAAGCCCTTTTAGGTACCAGGTTGCTGCTGGAGGTCACAGGAACAGTTAAAACTTAAGGACTAACTGCTGTTTGTTTAGGCTCTAGTAATACTGGACTACAGTAAGGCCTTTTAAAGACACTTCTAAAAAATTTATTGAAATGATGATCAATCTTCAATTACTGTTATAAAGTAGCAAGCTACAATACTGAAATGAACCTCAAATAAAAAAGTGTTCTTCAGTTTTTTTCTTTGTTACTGACTTCCCCAAGTAATATTTTTAGGAAGAAGACTTTTTTCTTTTTGAGTTTCTAATGTATTCATTGGGTAGTGAGAGAATTCATAATTACACAGATAGAAAGGAACCTTCTTATTTTCTGCCCCTCAGAGCCACAGCAGTACAGACAGCTAGATAGGTTGCATATGTTCAGCTTACACTTGTATGCTACTTCTGCTGGTCTGTTCATCAACTTCTAGTGTCTGCTTGTTCTTTTTGTGTCTTGAAGATGATAATGTACTTTCTTTTTTCAGTGAGTTCATACCACACAGTTCATAAGCCGTGGAGATGTATACCAAAACGAGTTAGTAGAAATAAACACTGTAGAAACTATATGAGTTTTAAGAAGATAATGTAGAAAAAGGTGGTGCAAATAAAGAAATGTGCCATTTTTTTAAAAAATAAAGATCCAGAAAAACTAAGGTTATTTAGTGCCACTTAATACTGCAAAATACTGAAATCTGTTTAGGTACTGAATTTTCCTTGTGTAGCCAAGTAAATTTTTTTGATGTATTGGAAAAAAAATTGAAATGTCTTCATTTTTGTCAGTGATAAGTATAGCTTTCAAATATGGTGAACAGTGTATTGTAAGATAGCTTATAGATTTATGGCCTGTTCTATTGATACTTTCACTTTTCCTGAATAATTGAATAACAGTACCTGTAATTAAGGAATTCACTGACAGTAATTTTCTCTTTGTCCTTATTTTTTCTTATTTGTTTTCTTCTTTCGCTCCTCTCTTGCCCCAGAAAAGAGCAAAAGGACAAGTGCTGTTTGATAAAGTATGTGAACATCTCAATTTACTGGAAAAGGACTATTTTGGGCTGTCGTTTTATGAGAATTCAGAACAGAAGGTAAGCCTGTATGAGGGTTTTGTTTGTTTTTCATTGTTGGCACTCACTTCAATAGTTTTCTGAGGTATATTCTATTAAATGTATACCATTGTAAACGTCTGAGTAAATTTTGCTTCCTTTTCTCATATATATGTAAGAATTTTTTGTGCAGGAACATGAAGGAAATCTAGCCCCTAAGTCTGTAACTTTGCTTTGGAGTTCCTTTTTTATTCATTTTAAGCTTGAAAAATTTTGGCATTTGTAAAGAGGCTGGAGCTGTCCCTTCACCAGCAATGGATGCTAATTTTACGAGTGAATAGTGTTTGATATGACTTCATTTGTAAGGATCTCTTAAATACTATTTGGTAATTTATTTTCAGTCTTCTTTTGTACTTAAGCTTATATGTTGTTTGGTTGAGCATATGTGGATTGCACATCTGAGAAAAATCTTAAATCAGTCAGTGGTATGTGTTCCATTAATTATCAAAAGCCAATTTATCTTTTTCAACATCTGAACATGACTGGCTATTATTGCTTTCCCCATGAACTAAAGATCTGTAAAGAACTGAGTTCATCTTTTTGTTCATAAAAAAACCTCCAGGCTAATAATTACAAATTTAAATGGAAAAATAGTATTTCTTTTTAATCACTATTTGTAGCAGAAACATTATTACATTATACTTAATTTCAAACACAATAGTGGGAAGAAAAAAGAAAAAGCTTCTAGATTAAGTCTAATTTAGTGCTCAGAATAAATCTGAATTTCTGACAACTTCCATTCAGATACAGCTGTGTTCTACAGTTATTTGCTACAAACCCTTCTGTGCAGCGTTGAGCAGAACACTCAATCCCTCTGCATTAAAGATCCCTATATACAGAATGGGCTTGTATTTTTACTTAGATACTTAATTTTTGTTCTTGAGTTGTCAAGTATTTATAGAAATAAGAACAACTTTGGTATAACAGTGAAGAGTGTCTCAGCTGATCTTCTGAGTAATACCATAATTTTAATTATTTGTTATTTTCATGTGTTGTCCCTTTGTTTGTGCTACTGACTAGTGAAAAACCATACAGTACACACACAGTAAAATAACATAAAACTGTCTGTTTTCTGGCAAGAGAGGAAAGGTCTAATAGCAGACCTGGGATCCATGAGCTATGGAATGCTCATACCAGGAAATGGCCCACCTGAGTAGATCCAGGGAGGTAGAACAGAGAGCCTTTGGCTTTTGAAAGTAGAGCAGAAATAACTGGTATGGAGTTAGGTCTTTTATTCTTCCTACCTTTTTTTTTTTATTTTTTTTTTTTACTGTGCTTCTAGTTGACTAAGATTTGATATTTTTCAGTCATGTGAATGGAGGAACAGAGTTACACATCTTATAAGGAGCCTATCTGTTTTTTTCGGTGTCTTTATCCTTGGAGATACTAAAACTATGACTGGATATGAACCTGGGTAAACTGATGTAATTCCAAACTGGCTCTACATTGACTCACACTTGGACCAGTTATCTCCAGAGGTCCCTTTCAGCCTGAATATGCCCTTGAGCTCCCTATCCACTGACTGTGGTGGTGCTACTATAGCAACACTCAGAAATGAGCTATTGACATAAATTAAGGAGAAATATCTGATAATAAGGTACTTACTTACATGTATTCAAAAGAAGAGTAGACCACTTTTCAGTTGAATTATGAACAGCAGCAGGCTTTATTTAAAAACTTCAGGAGAAATCTGATCCTATTTGTTATGAACACTAAACAACCACTGTTGTAGGATTTTTTGTTTTTCATACAAGTAAATTCTTAGGGTTATTTGGAGAAACTTAGAGGCTTTCCTAGCAGATTTTCATTTCCTACCTCCTACTTTCTTGCAGCTTTTACTGGGTTCAGGGCTCTCTGTTTTGTTCACCTCTGTAATAAGGTTGAGATCCTTTTTAACTTCTGTACCAGTTCTTTCTGATGCATTTTTTTTCCTCCTGCTATGACTGTTGCCTCTTCAGATTAAAATGTCACAAATCTCTGACCTCCACACCAGTCAGTACTAAATGCTGAATGATGTGTTTTTCTTGTGCCCTCATCACAGCCACCCATTTATGAGCCAGCTGTTGAACTCGTTGGCAGCTGTGGGGTGTGAAAACTGAATGCCCAGCACTCTTTTGAATCAGAGCTGCTCCCTAATGCACCATCGGGGTACCATTGGAGGAGGAGTCCCATTAACTTTTCTCCACGGGTATTCTGTGCAGCTGGGAGAGATGTTACATCTTCAAATCAGACCGATTTTTGTTTTACAACTACTTAGGTCAAATTAGTGTTTAATGATTTCTTTTGATTTTTGCAAATGTTAAATTTGTTGGTCTAAAGTTTAGTTGGGGATTTCATTGCATTGTACCCCCAAAAGTTCATGAATGCTCCATTTACATTGTAATTGGTCTGCAGAAGTGTTAGAAAGCTTCTGCTCTTACGTTCTGGGTGCCAGCTGGAAATACTGCTTTTCTGGATTTGTACAAAATACTTTTGTACTGGTACAGAACATTTTGTTTTTCTCTGACAATACATTATTTTGTCTCATCTATAACCTTACCATTCACAAATTAAACAAATAGATTTCTGCATACTGGAGCAAAGTAGTGTGTATACACTTTGTCCTTTGTTTTGAAAGACAGACCTGTCTATTCTGCATTAAGAGCTTTAATTCAGGGTAGGTTCCTTCATGGTGTTTATTGTATCCATAAGGCACAGATGCAAAAAACCCACCCCTGTAATTATGCCTATAAATGGAATATAACCATCTGATTTTATTTGACAGAATAGTAATGAAAGTTGGTGGCAAAATTTGCTTCCAATAAGCTTATTTCAGCTTTCTGTCTTGCACTGAAAGTAGCGCATACTCAGGAATCCTAGTTTTCTGCTTTACTTATGGCATGCTATATTCTGTATTTATTTACACTACATCTGAAATGTTTAAGCTACTTCTAGTTATCTTTGTAGTTGCAAGAATATAGCTGTGTGTAATTTCACAATGGAATTCCTGCCAAAACTGAAAACCTAAGATGACAGCTATAATTGAAGTGAGTCTCAGTTCAAATTGTTTTGAAGGCTCCTGTTGTCTTCCAAGACTTTTCCATGTCAAGGTTCTTCTAACAGATAGCAATTTTTCTGACCTAAGCAGAATAACCAGTACCCAGAATTTTTGACAAGTATTTTAAAACTTTTAACTTTGTAACAATGCTATGGACTGTGCCATCCCTGAAAAATTACACTATCTATGAAAAGTGGAGGTCACAGACTTCTTAAAGCAAGAAATGTGAAGTAATTCCTTTCTTCTAAAATTAAAACCGTAAAAAATGGCAAAAGGTTTTTTTGCATTCAACTTTTAAACAGTATTTGCCCAGTATACACATGCTGCACTTGTGATGACATCTGCTTGGGCCAAGGTCATTTACAACAAGGCAGGAACTGGTATTCTGGGTCAGATTAGTAGAGGTCACATTCTCTGTCAGCAGAGGTGATCTATGTTAAATATTTGCACTGCTGCAAAAACATAGTTCTGTGTTCTCCTAATCCATACACACCCATAAACTGTATTCTAGCATTTTTTGTCACCTTGAAATAAATTTTACCCTGGATGCAAAAGCCTGCAATAGAGACACAGGGATTTGGTATTGGGCACCAATGTTGCAGACAGAGTGTTTGGTACACTGTAAAAGGGGAGTCACATTATACTTAGTACCCACTACTTGGCTGGTGTGAAAAATTGGTGGTTTGTGAAAAATTAGATGTTGCCCTTGACCTGACAAGTCATTTGCTGATTCTTCCTTATGTTGCACATCTGTCTTTGAAATGTGGTAAGTCCTGCTGTCAGGCTGACTGTATGCATGTGTCTTTCTTCCATGTATATATATGCCTGTGCATGTGTGTCTGTCCATGAGAAATAAAGGTTCTAACACTATAGCAAGTAGGTTCTCAGGAGCTGCATTTGAAAGGCTCATGTTTCTAGTCTCATGCAACCTATTTGCTAATATAGAATCGTAGAATTTAAGGGTTGGAATGGATCTCACAGATGATCTAGTCCCAACCCTCCCTGCCATGGGGAGGGACACTTCCATGTATAGGTGAAACTAATAAACAGGATTGTCTGAGTTACTGATGAATATATAATATATGTTCTTAATTTCTTAGTCTCACTTCCCAAAATTAAATTTTTGGGTGATCTATCACAAAACAGTCTTTTGCATATATCAATAGTAACTGAAATGCTATAAGCTATTTAATAGGTTGTACAGATTATATGAAAATATTTTGGGTATTGAGAATTTTACATGTTGGTTGTGGGTTTGTTTTTTGTTGTTTTATTTTTTCAGAACTGGCTAGATTCTTCGAAGGAAATTAAGAGACAAATTCGAAGTAAGTGCTTCTGATGTTATGCTCCTTTTATTTCCTCACAGAAGTATTCTTCATAAATTTAGTAGCCTGGATGTTGACTAAATTGTATGCTTCCTGCTTTAAAATAATTTCTGTCTGACAATGATGTATTCAGCCTTAAAACAGAAAGCAAATCTTGTATTTCTGGCCACTGTCCAGGAAGGAGAGAGAGAGTCAACCTTATGCTGTAGAAGTTAATCATTATACTGACTAATCCCCCAAAATGCCTGTGTTGTATGTGACTAATAGTTGATCTTTTTGCATCCTGAAACAATAGATGTTTTTCAGCTTTGTGCTGATATTTGGGTTATGGATGGAGAATGTCACCTTGCAAAGATGGTCATGGTTGTTGCCGTAGGACTTTCTAACTTCAAAGACTCACCAGAAGAATACAAAACTACAAAAAGAGAATCACTATATTTTAAAGAAAATGTGTATTCTTCAATACTGATCAGTACAGCATTGGCTTTTTTGATAAGTCCATCATTTCCAGAATGGAAATGGAGTAAAAAGCATAATCTTGGAATATCTCTCTGCAATGCTTTTCAGACTCAATCTGTCTCATATGTCTTTCTACTTTCTATACTCAATACAGAGTGAGTAGTTTATGTTACTCTGTTTGCAGAAAACTCTTGTGTGAAAGCTCTTCACTAGCTGGGTAGCTTTTGTAAGCAGATGGGGAGACTGTCACAAAATAAGTAGCCACTAGAAAGTGCTAGACAGCTCTTGCTCTTACTGAACTTCTTCCCATTGCTTTACTCATTTGTAACCAGTCCAGGTGCTGAGGGTTTTTTTTGTTTTGTTTTTGAGGGAAACTTCTGGGTAGTACCTGCTAGGGAATGTAAGTGGGGAGAAGAGGATGATGATAGTATTTACAAGCCTATGCTTCCAACACAACAAGAATTTAAGTTATTTAAGAAATTGACTACTTTTTAATTAAGAACAGCAGTATGTTAGCTATAATGATAAGCAGATGGTTTCTTTACTATTGTTAACTTACTGTTTTAAGGCAACACTCATGTTTTTCCAGGGATCATAGTGGTGTTAGTTCTGTTTTCTTTAGTTCTGTTTCTTTTCTTTCTTTCTTTGTTTTGCCTATTGATGAAATCTCTTACTAGGAAGCTGTGGTTTATATTTTCAGTACTGAAATGAATGTTACAGAAACTTCCTTAAAGTATTTTTTTGGTGATCTGACATGCTCTTGTATAAGCAAACTGCACCTATTAAAATGGTGAATGTACTGATACACAAGTAGAGGCCATACGTATCACTAAGAAAAAGTTATTGCTATTGTAACTTATTGTTTTGCAGGTCTTCAGCGAAAATTTGCTGGCTAAAGGCTTTTTTGTTTGGTTTTAATATTTGACAGAAGATTGAGGATGTTAATATTTTTTGTTACTGTCTCCTGTAGCCAATCTGCATGCTATCTAGCCTGCAAGTTAGTGTCACAAATTTGAAGTGTAGGAATGGACTTGAAAATTTTTTTGATGCACTATACCGTGTTTTTTTTAAATACTGTATCATGTGCCCTACAAAAGATATGTTTAGGGGATGTGATTTATCAGCATGAAGACCTACATTTTATACTCGAGAGCAAGTTTCTTGTATTAGGAATCATGACTGGAATTTTTTATCTGGTGTGTAGTACTTCAGAGTTGATAGGCATAATAAAGCAAACAGCCTAGTAAGAACACCATTTTAAGGATTTTAAAATTAAACTTGCTTACATTAATTTGCAAGTAATCAGCATACTGTTGATTGCATTCCTCATAATCAGTCTATTAGAGTTTCTGGATACTGGAATGTACTGCAGACATTTTATCCCCCACAGTATCAAGTAATGAGACTTTTCTCAGGCTTAGTTCTAAATATATTTGTCTTTGAATCAAGAATGGAAATCTTATGTACAAAAATACTCATTAAATTTAAGATACCTGTAAAACCGTTTGAGAATTTTGAAGTCCATTTGAAATTTTTGAAATGAAAAAGCTCATTTCTTTTTCTCTTGTACAGCACAAAGTGAAGCACTAGCATGCCAGATAAGCATATCTGGAAAATTACATGGATCTGACACAGAGGTGACAAATTTGGATGTGTAGTTTAGCACATCAGTTTGCTTCTTAATATTTATAACAATCTCTCTCTCTCTCTCTTACACATGAGCGTCACCAGTGTTCTGCACATTGTGTACCACCTGTGACTGGGGAAGACAAAATAAGAATCCTGCAGTCTCCCCAAAGTCATGTTCAGCATCAGATTGTCTCTTGCTGAATCATGGGCTTCAAGCCTCCTGTGCAGTCTCTTATTTGTACAGGTTGCCCTTTGGCTGGTAATTATGTTGGATCTCAGCAAGTACTGATGTTACTTCAGCTAATGAACATGATCCACAAATTACTATCTCTGTTCTCAGGGCTACGAAGGTGACAAAACTCATTTGCTTTCAGCCAGCCTGATCTCTTCAGAAAATGAATTCTTGAGTCTTTTTTAACTCATGTACTTGGCTATCCACTGGCATGTGTTAAAAGCTCTAATTACTGCCTTCAGGGACAGGTGGGTAATTACATTCTGTCACTATGTTGAAAATGGCTACATCTAAGATGGACTCAGGCTTCTGCAAAACGGAGAACCTCAGCTTGAATAGTGTGATGGTACAAGCACTGGCAACTGACCTTGAAATAATCAGATTTCAGACTACACAAAGGGGGTATGGTGGTTCACCCTTATATAAAATTTAATTTGACAGTTTATCTGTGTACATGCAGTTAGTATAGAACACATGATATTCCACTCAGTGTTGTCTATAGGTATTTTCATAACTCATTCTCAGTATAACAGAATGGAATGAGTAAACTCAAGCCTGATTGCATCACAGTGCAGCTGAGGATCAATCTTGTCTGCAACTTAAATGTTCACAGGTGTGGGTAAGGATTGGAGGTGTGAATGTATAACCATCTCTTTGGGAAGCATAATAATGTGTGCTTATTATTTGTAGAATTGAAACGGTTATCTTCCTCTTCACACAAATTTTGAAGCTATTTTTGGGTTATATCCCGGTTTTGGTGTGGATGTAATTCACCCTCTTCCAAATGGAAATTAGGTTTTAATGCTGTATGGAATAGTTTAAAGCCAAGGTAATATTATGTCACTTTAAACGTATTTCTAGTCTCCAGCCCGATTAATATTTTTACTGCAAAAAAATACTTCCATGTAACATTTTCTGCATTGTATATCTTTGGAGAGGATTTGGATGTTCTGAGGGCAGAATAGACTGGAGAACTAAGGAAAGTGTGAATTGGTTAGGAAAGGGCTTGCATTTCAAAGGTACAACTCTGTTTGTCTGATTTTGTTGCTAACAACATGTATGGTTATGCTCAGGCATCAAAATACCATGGTCACTTTATTTTATTTCCATCTGTTTTCTGTATCTAACTATATGTCTGCAAGAGGTGTACCTAATTTTGATCTAAGCTGATTACATTAGAGTATAGCTTATTATTGGTGAAGAGAACGAAGTACCTATGCCAAGGGAAGAGTTTTCCTGCAAAAACTGACACACGGAATTCATCAGTAAAAACCAGAAAAAGCCTTTACTGGAAAAGAAAACCCTCACTGATTTCCCAGTTTAAATGGGATGAATCATATTAATTGTATGCTATGAGCTGGTTGGTTATATTGCATTCTTGTTCTCTAAGAATGTGCCTAAAGTTGCCACAGAAGCATTTTCAGTGTAACGAGCTGGCTAGAAAAATTTTTGACATTTCTGTAGCCCATAATGTTAAACATCAAAACAGAGAGCCTTAACAGGGACAGAATGCTAAATACCATTTTAAATATCAGGGTTTTTTTGTTTTTCTTTTGTCTTGGCTTCCAATTCAATAACAGACAGTAATATTGTGTGAAGACAATTATGTTTGTATGCCTCAGTTATACAACTATAAACAGTATGCTTTAGTGAGAAGTATAAATATAGATTGTGCATGTTGGAATATGTACTTGTTAGCCTATATTTAGGGGATAAATGTGCTTTCAGTAATCAGGCAAAATATAAAGTCACCAACTGTCCAGAAAATATTTAGTACAAAGTCAACTACAACATATTTTCATTAAATTAGCAATGGAATTACTATGAGTAGACATATGAAAATTTTCTCATAGTCTGTAGATGGAGAGGATTTATATGACCTTTAGCTTTTTTTACAGAATTTAGTTTTTAATTTTTTTTTTCTTCGAGCCATGTCTAGGTCTCCTGGCTGCAGTGCTTTCTGAAAGTTAACCGTAGAAATGCTGACAAGAAAGAGGAACAGGTTAAACAGGAATTCATATGTGACTAGTTTAACTGCAGTTTTAGACCAGGAAAAACTCCCTCATACCAGGAAACACTGCTTCATACCAGGAAAATTTGAAGACTGGTTTAGAATCTGTGTGGAAGGACACATTCTTCATCCGTTTCCTCACATCCCACAGCCCTGTTAACATGACAACTCTCCCTGAATGCTTTTTGCATAGATGTTTTGGCCCAATTGCTCATATTCATCAGTTTGGCTTATTCAATATCAGCAGCTTTTCATTAGAGGATGCTCATTCCCTGGGAAATGTATGATGGAAGTAGGCTAATCTATTCCAGCTTTAACTGTGGTTGTTATGGTGTACATATTAATTAGTGCTAGATGGGGTTTTTTAAAGGTATTTGTGTTAATTCTGTTTTGCACTGCATTGCAGTAGATGATGCAATGATAAATTAGGCTTTCTCATTTAAGGAGTCCTGCCTTATTTTGTAAGCAAAATTGTCATTGTTCTAACAAATAATTGAGAACTGGGGATGTTAAGATACACTAAAACCTTGAGCTCTCAAAAAGAAATAGTGGTTTAGCAGCCAGGTAGAGAATGAAGTTGATGAGAAATTGAAGTGCTCCAATGAACAGTCTTGTCTGAAAAAACAAAACAAGTTTTGAAATGTTAGAAGACATGAAAACTTTTGACACAAAGCACCTCTTCACCTTCAATGGCTGTGAAATTTTAGAACAGGATTTTTTATAAGAAAGTAACCTTCAACAAAAATGCCAGCACTTTTTTCCTATCGTTGTGTTGGAAATGGCATTACAGTCTATCGCTGCTGTGAAAAGACACATTTTAAAAGCATGGTTTATCTGTATAGCACAGATCTTTCAAATAATGTACTGCCCAAAATTCATCACTAACACACTTTATAAAATTATTCTCTTTTTCTGCTAAAGATTTTTTTTTGGTAGGTCTTTCACCAATACATTGTTTGAATTACAAAAAAAGAGACAAGAGAAAGATTAAAGTGGCTACTTAATTGTTTTGATAATATTATCACAGAAAAATAGAATGGCTTGGGTTGGAAGAGACCTTAAAGATCATCTAGTTCCAAGCCCCTTGCCATGGGCAGGGACACTTTCCTCTAGATCAGGTTGCTCAAAGCCCCATCCAACCTGGCCTTGAACACTTCCAGGGACAAGACATTCACAGCCTCTCTAGGCAACCTGTTCCAGTGCCTCACCACCTAAAGAATTTCTTCCTAATACCTAAAGAAATTCCTAATATCTAATCTAAATCTACCCACTTTCAACTTAAAACCATTCCCCTTTTTCCCATTGCAACAGGTTCTACTGAAATGTTTATCCCCATCTCTCTTACAAGCCCCCTTTAGGCACTGGAAGGCTGCAGTGAGGTCTACAGCATTATATTTTTCACGCTGAAAAACCCCCAACTCTCTCAGCCTGGTTTCATAGGAGAGGTGCTCCAACCCTCCAATCCTTTCTGTCATCCTTCTCTGGATTTCATTTCTTCTCTTCATCATTTTTAGCTGATCTCCATTGTACTGTGAATTTCTTTCTTTGTCAAGACACAATAAAGCTGAACTGCATTTGCTTTCAGAAAAATCCCCAAACTATTAAATTCTTTTCCTGGACCTCTAATTTGGGATTTTCTTTTACATATGTATGTCTTCTCTACACTTAATGAGATCTGTTTGAATTAGGAAGTTCTATATTTTGGTAAGGTATCAGTACTTTCCAGTTAAAGTATTCCTCTTGCACATAGTGTCACAATACTGGTAGAGTAACATTCTGAAAATGCATTTTAATTATTGATGTGTGACTTCAGGTTCTAAATCTTAAAAATTTATTTAAAAAGAGAGCTGTGACTAAAGGCAACATTTTATGCTTTGTCAAATTGTTAATCTAGTTCTAAACATGCTGTTGCTTTAAAAAATGCATGTTTTGTTAACAATTCTTAACACTGGAGATGTTAAATTTGAAGTGTCATTACTATTGTAGTTGCTAAAGGTGGTGTTTCTCAGAAAAATTTTGTAAAGTAGGAATGGCTAAAATTTTTTGTGTTCCATGCATTCTCAATGAATAATTTAGTATCTTTGTGATATCTCCTGTACACAGCTGCTGTACAGTCTCTCAAACTAAGTCAGTTTAGACAGGAGACTTAGCCTTGGGGGGGTTGGAAATTAACATAAATTCAGTGCAAGTGCCTTTGAACACAAAATATCTTAAAAGTTAATATATCATGGTGGCAGTTTTCAAATCGAAAATGTCTTCTGATATTTGCATAACTTATTGTAAAACATTAATTTAAATTAATTTTAACACGCTAATCTTACATTGTACATCTATGAGTTTCTACCTGCTAATGAAAATAATTATGCTTCTTGCTAATGAACTGCAACAAGACAGAAAAAAATTTCATTCAGGATTTCAGTAGTTAAGATTTATGTGACTACCTAACATTTTTCACTAAGATTTCTTTGCTTGCTTTGGTTTATTTGAGATTAACAGATATTTTCCATGTTTAGGTTTACCTTGGATATTCACCTTTAATGTGAAGTTTTATCCCCCTGATCCTTCACAGTTGACTGAAGACATCACTAGGTATGCACAGTTCCTAATTTTAAACCTGAAATTACTGTTAGGCTACTTTGAAAGTCATGAAATTCCTTCTTCGGTTTCTGGATGCCGTAAGAGGTTTGGCTGTTACTGTAGGACACTATAGATATCCGTACATACATCGACTGCTTTTTGGAACAAGCTTGAAAAGTTTGTGAAAACTTCTGGAAAAAACCTGAGCAAGAAGAATTTAATAAGTGGGGATATGATCATATTTGAAAGAAGCCAGTAGTTTATGGTCAGTCTGCTGCTTTATTGTGAAGCAGATCAGGACATGGTAGCATTGAGCGAAGGTACTTCAGTAATAATCTAGACTAGATTGGTGGAAATGTGGTTTTACACGTCTGCGTTAGATAAAGCCATAAAACATAACAGAGTTCGGGAGGCATTTGGACAACATTCTCAGGCACATGGTGTGATTATCAGGGATGTCCTGTGCAGGGCCAGGAGTTGGACCAGATCATCCTCAAAGGTCCCTTCCAAGGCTGATTATTCTGTGACAATGAAACCTGAAAATAATTATCTTCCAGAATTCTTAGACAAAGTACTTAGAATGCTGTGGATACTAGGCACCTAAAAAGTAGCATTGCAAGACTGACCTAGCTGGGGATAGAATGCAGGGAATTCACTCAAATGTATCAGGAGTTATGGAAAACCTAAATACTTAGTTTTGTTTTGCAGTTAGCTGACTCTGCAGACACAGGTTATATGTTACTACTACATGTTGCACTGGGTCAGTCTTCAACAGAAAATAAGATATAGCTACACAACTGTGTAGTTCGTATATTATTACAAATAATCTAACACATTTAATGTGTTTGAAAGAAGCTGTGTGCTTTTTCTTTGAAAATGTTCAGCGAGTTGGTGGGCTTTTCAATTGTGTGTTCAACTGATAAAAGCTTCTTTTTGTTGCTATAATTTAAACCCAATTCATTAAAATTGAAGTTTCACTAGTGAAACTTGTTTTAAAATTTTTACCTGAAAAAAATCTGTGCTAGGGTAGGATGTCTCCTGATTGTTAACTTGTTAAATTTGGTAGAAGACTCTATACAGTACCTGAAATACTAAATTCTAATATATACATGGTTTAAGGAATATGACTATGGTTTCAGTAGTAATCTGGATTTGTGTATTCCATGGCTTGATTAGCTTGTGAACTGCAAAGGATATAAAAGTTCGGGTTTTGAAGCCGAAGGGAAATGTCAAAGAAATGCATAGATTTTTATTTTTAAACCCTAGATACCTACAGGCCACAATGTGAATTGGAGTTCCTATGTCAGCTTTTGTTTAAAACTAGGTTGTCTTTTATTCAGTTATATTGGAAATCAGCTCTTCCCCTGCTTTTCGCATCTCTTAAAGGTAGTGAAATTTACTGTGTGGTAATAATGCTCAAATAATGTAAGGTATAACAAATTATTAATGCATTGGCTTATTTTAAAATCTGCTTCTATGATTACATCATCTCGATGAATTCTGTCATCTCTCTCAGTAATTGGCCAATGGTAACATTTTCTCTGTTCTTTTTCTTTGGTTGTTTTTTTTTCCCCCTTTCCTTTGTCTTGCAGGTATTTCTTGTGCCTACAGCTTCGTCAGGATATTGTATCTGGTCGACTGCCCTGTTCTTTTGTGACTCATGCCCTCCTTGGGTCATACACACTGCAGGCTGAGCTGGGGGATCATGACCCAGAGGAACACCGCAGTGATTATATCAGTGAATTCCAATTTGCACCCAATCAAACTCAAGAAATGGAAGAGAAAGTGGCTGACCTACACAAAAACCACAGGTGTGTCAGATGCAGTGAGACTGATTGAAGTCACTGTGCTTTGTCAAATTTATGTCAATTCTGTTAAGAGTATGTGTAAAACTCTTAAGCTGAAGTTATTGTTAGTTTGGAAATCTTTTGTTATGTAACTAAAAGCTCTTACAAAGTTTCAGGTTGCAAATAATAGCTTCTCTAAGAACTTTGAAGAAAGCCTTTGGAAAAAATAATTTTCTCTGAGCATATGAATTAGTTTCCGCAACATACAGCTGAAATATTTTGAGAGAGTGAAGCTGGAAATCTGTACACAAAAAATTAAATAAGTGCTCTGAAAGAACACTTCTCCTGTAGGGCAAAAATACTACTGATACCCTACAAATGGAGGTTTTTCTGTGTGTCTGAATTACAGGATTCCACTCAGTTTTGCCTCTCAGTTTTTTGTCAATAAACTCAAGGCCTATTCAATGTTTTTAGGGGCTTGACTCCAGCACAGGCGGATTTCCAGTTCCTAGAAAATGCTAAGAGACTCTCCATGTACGGAGTGGATTTGCATCATGCTAAGGTATTGGGGATTGGTTTGGTTTGGTCTTAGGATAGATGTGCTTAGTATTAAAGAAAATAGTGTATATAGATTTTTTTTTTTTTAAATTCACATGCTTAATTGTTGTGTATAAGCCTTTATCTCTTGGTTACAATCATTATTCAGTTTACAGCTCTTAACATCCTTAGAATTTATTTTAAATCTAAGTTTATTTACTGCATAGACTTAGGTGCATCTTGGAAATAAGATTTTGTTCATAAGAGCAGATAAATACATTTTAAATGGCAGATTTTTTTATGCTAAGGAGATGTAGGGTCATTAAGTAAGGTCTAATAGAACACATAATTGTTTTCTTGATACCATGAGGGTTAAATAGAAAATGGGGGGAGGTCTTGGAGGGTCTTGGCTTTTTCCACTTCTCTGCGTGGGTCAACTTTTCATTTCAAGTGGGATTTTAAAGCCCCAACTAACAAACTAATAACCCCTTCCCACTCTCAAACCCAGAATCTCAGACCATTAGAAAAATTAAGGTGTTGTAAACATCAGTCCTGTATTTAAAAAAGAAAACCAAGACCTGTAAGTACTGGAGAAACATTCTTTCACTTCGTTTTGTTGGTTATGCCAGTGAAGTGGCTTCTTAACAACAGTGTTGGCATTTGATGTAGTTGATTTGTTTTTGGGGACGACACCAGATTCTGTATTGTGTAGTGTATCAAAGCCTTATCAATAAGTGATTAGCTTTGTAGCCTGTAAAACTTGTATCAATACTGTCAGTGGAAGAGAATGTTCAGAAAGCTATTGATTGCATTCTTTACTGGAATAGTAGGTGACTGTAAAACATCACCATGATCACGAACTTGTTCAGACTCTCACTGAGTCCCACCAAGTTGGAAAGGCCTGTTTTTAATTTTTCTTTTTTTTTAACATTTGTTGAAATTACTGCTTGCACACACACTGGCCATACCTTTCCTTGATTTTGAAGTTGTTGATTTAGCCCCTATTACCAGAATATTGCAGAATTTCCCAGAACTGTGGCATATGCAATGGTGTATGAGTGCCAAAACCGTTACTTAGAGTCCAAAGCTATTCCTATAAAATTAATATACTTGGCTATCTCATTTAATAATCTCACTGTCAGGGTCTTTTATGTTTGAATATGAAACATGTCCCAATTGCATTATTCCCTCAAGGTATGTCAGTGATAATTACTTGCTTGGAAAGTCATTAAATAGATTTTTATTAAGTTGTCCTCTACCTGGTAGGATTCTGAAGGTGTGGATATCATGCTGGGGGTATGTGCTAACGGACTGCTGATTTACAAGGACAGACTCCGGATCAACCGCTTCGCTTGGCCAAAAATTCTGAAGATTTCTTACAAGCGAAGTAATTTCTACATCAAAGTCAGGCCAGCAGAAGTAAGTAGCACCTTACTGTCTTGTTTCTTTTGTGAGATCATTTGTATCCAGCCACAAGAGAGCATCCTCATTTTTTCCACAGTTGTCTTCACAGGCTTATGATGGATTTGAGCAGAACTTACAAATATTTTTTCCTCTTCAGATTTTACTGATTGTATTAAATGTTTGTCTTGTTAAGTAAATAGAAGCGAAGAAGAAAATTTTTTTTTTTTTTTTCTAGATGCCATCTTGTAATTTTATGGGTTTTTTGCAGAGAAAGCTGGTTACACTGGCCATGTTCTTAGTGTCTGTACATTCCTGCACTCCTGGGGGAGAGCCAGCTTCTCTTCCTCTTTGGGTATAATTGCTCACTAAATGTCAGTGTGTCTAGTTTATGGCTGTAACCAAAGGCTTGAGTTGTCCTGTAGGACGTTTTAACTTTTTTGTTAGCTGCTGTGGAAGTAGCAGATTCAACTTTCTTTTCAGTTACTGATAAAAGTTTGTGGGAGTTGCTGAAGGAGGGGAGGGTTACACTTTGAACACACTGTAACTGGAAATGAAACAAAAACCAAAATGTCAAACACTGTTTGAGATTATACTCTACAATGTTTAAGGTAGCTCTTACTGTGTGAATAAATAAAACCAGAGCAGTCCAAATACCACTTGTACAATACTGACATTGTAGTTTTGTAAGTTTTGGAACACAGATGTATTGTTGTTGTGCTCACTGATGGTGCATAGATATAGTATTTTTGCTAAGAAACTATAATATAGTGAAACAGATCATATAAAGTGAACTTAGCAGTATGGATTTAAGACTTTTATTAAATTCAAGGAAAGTGTGCAGCACAACCTGCAGTACAATTAGTTCATGCAGTTCAGAAATAAGTGCATTGGTCAGCTAGTCAGAAAATCAGCAAGGAACACTAAAGTATTACTGGTTTCTCAAGAGTCATTAGTATGGATAGGAAGTGATAATGTGATTATTACCCATCATGACTTAGCCCACCAAGTATAATTCTTTTAAAAGGCTGGAAATTCTGATATTGTTTTAAATTTATTTTGCATTTTTAAAAAGATCTTAAGTTAAATGACGGGAGAATTGCAGCTTGTTACAGTAATGGAACTATCTGAACTCTGCCTGCTGATTAATAGCCAGTTTAAGGAAATGGGTTAATTTATTTGTGGATTCTTTCCAGCTGGAACAGTTTGAGAGCACTATTGGGTTCAAACTGCCAAACCATCGGGCTGCTAAAAGGTTATGGAAGGTTTGTGTGGAGCACCATGCTTTCTTCAGGTAATTGATAATTCTCTGCTTCCCCCACTTTGCCATGATTGCTCATATCTTTCTTTTAAAGGATATGAGGAAGGTAGAGAAGATTTCCCCCTTCTTTACCCCTAATTTCTGAGTTAGGTAACGTCTTTTAGACAAAAGACACCCTGACAATCACTGACCTCATATTACCAATTCTTAAAGTCTCAAGTACAATTAACTTCTTTATTAAAAGTGTCAGAGTGCTAACAGGATGGAACTAAACTAGCAGTCCTGTATCACTGAAGAGCTATTTGGACACAATGCTTTGCAATGTGCTCTAGGATGACCCTGCTTGAGCAGGCAACTTGGACCATAGAACCCACTGTGGTTCCTTCCAACCTGAAATCTTACCAATCTGTGGTAAGAGTTCCTGAGAGACTGACTGTTCAGAATGCCCATCTATAAAGCCACTATACAGCTTCACAAGAAGACCTCAGGGCTTGACAGCAATCTTCACTCAATTAACTTTTCAGAATATTCTGCTGAGTGCAAATGCTTACAGCTGAGTTTTTCCTTATTTATGAACTAGGCTGAGTTCACAGTCATTCTCTGAAGAACAAAGAATCACTTTAAAAATAGACTGTTTATGTAATAATCCATAACCTTCCCATTTTTTCCCCCAGCAACTGATAAACATAAAATTCTGAATTGGTCATTGAAACTATGGCCTGTTTATAAAGGAGGATTTTAACATCAGGCCACAGAGTTGTTCCTCTGTCTACTTCCTCCATTGAAAAGGAATTTGAAAAAAATCTTCGTTTGATTTTTGTAATAACACACACTCCATGAGGGAGTGCATGTGCCCCCTGCAGCCTAGGAGTCACAGGTTTAGGTTGAATCTCTTATGGATTGAATAGACATTGAATCTCAGTTTCTTACTTCAAAGCACAGTAACTAAGGTATGTAAAGGGTAAGCTTTGCCCTTCAGTAGCCTGTTTGTTTTAAAAAAGCAAGTGGTTTAAGGTAGATGTAATCCTGTTGCTGAATATACTTGCTAGACTGAGAACTTCAGAGAACGTGGGGACCAGGAGACCTAAGCAGCTTATTACTGGAACTGTCTCATTGGATGATGGTTTTCAGTATTCAGAATTTCATTGACTGTGGCATATTCTTGAATGCAGTATTAGAATTCATGCTGAGATTGGCCAATCTCTGTATAAATCAGTCTCCGAATGCTTAATTTAGAAGCACTTATTTTTTAAATCCTTATCAGAGATATTTTTTTTTCCCATGTGGATAGAATTCATTAGTTACATTTATTAACAGGCACAGTCCAGCATCTGTTCTTCTTGAAAAGTAAAGCTTGCTTTGGCTGGTGGTGTCTGCTACCACAAATAGCAGTTCTGTCCACAATTAAAAGTTTATCAGTACTCTTCAAATAACTCATGCAGTGATTTGCTTTGCTGGTAAGCTGTATTTCCTAGTTTTATAGTAATAAAATAGACCTGAATAAGGAAAAAACTAAATCTTATGGAAGTCAAAAATCTTAAACTGACAACTTAAATATGGAAATTTCCAGGAGCATTAATAGGTATTAGATAATCTTACTAGAGAAATTCTGACATAATAAAAATAATTGGATTTTATTCCAATCAGAAGTGGCTTTTCCTAACCAGGAATGACATTATAATGAGAATTATGTAACAAATACTTGAACCATTCTGTAAAATCCATACACTCCACTGATGTCATCAGAAAGAAAATCCTTAGAACCTCTCATCCTGATTTAAAAACAGTAAAATAAATCTAGCTCTGTTTTTCTCCAAAGATAAAAAGCAGAAAGCAATTGCTGCAGTCCAAGAGACTGTAGCTCATTCAGAGCATGTTTAAAGCTTGTGTATGATGCCACAGTGAATTGTATACAGTTTAGATGTGTATTTTTAGCTTCCAAGTCTCTTAGCATGCCCTATATAACATGGCAAGATTCCTTGTGTTGTCTTATGTAATGTTACAGTTTTTCTCAAATAATCACATTAAGATCCATTTTCCTACAGTGTGTGGGAAATGCAACCAGTATATGAAGTTGTTTATAAAAATCTGTGATGAACTGTCCTGAAAATGACAACCAAAAAGCATTGTATTCACTTGTTATCAGCTCAAACTTGTAAGAGTCCAGTACCATTTCCAATCTACTTTAAAAATGTAGTCAGACTATATATCTACACTAATCTTTTGAGGTAAGCTTAGTTGGCAGCTCTGGATCTCAACCAATGTCTGCAGAAACCTGCTTATATTTCTGCCTTATGATGTTTTATTTGAAATTTTCATGATTGTTTCAGTGTCTCCTCAGAATGTCTTAAAATGGTGAAAGCACAGTTTTCAGTTATTTCTGTAAATAAGCCTGTAATACAAAAAATCCATTCAAATGCGCTTAATCAGGAAGTAATTAGTCCTCTTGTTTTCTCCACATTAAAAGATTAAAAGTTTATCTCAGCAGGGTAGAAGATAAAAATGGCAGTTAATGCTGTAGCCTTGCCAAGACTGGAAAATCAAGAACACAAGGAACCTTGGAAAAACCCTTTTAGCCTTCTTCCTCTTCAGGCATAATGCACTCTATCTTGGAAATAATGGGGAGAAAGACTGTTTTATAGAAGCAGTGAAAGTGAAGCTCTAGATACTTGTGATTTTATTACATAAGTGGCCTCAGTGCAGAAGAGTAGATTACTCTGTCTGGAACTGTTTGATTTAAAAATGTGTTGGAACAGATTAAGATTCAGGTGTTTGCACATGCATTTTAGGCATGTGGCATTGGGTCATTCTGGCTCGTGTTCTGACAAAACCGTAAACATCCTCTCTCAGAGAAAATGGTAAAATTCTACCTAGCTGTATTGTGTTTCATGGCAAGGTTTTGGTAGTGGGGAGACTACACAGGTGGCTTCTGTGAGAAGCTGCTAGAAGCTTCCCCAATGTCCGATGGCGCCGATGGCAGCCAGCTCCAAGGTGGATCCAAGCACCACTAGCCAAGGCTGAGCCCATCAGCAAAAGGAGCACCTCTGGGATGACACATTTAAAAAGGGTGTCGTGGTTTAACCCCAGCAG